AGCTTTGGATTGTGTTAAGAACTTAATGGACAGCTGAGGCAGTGGTCCAGAAGTTGGGTGACCTTGCCTGGAAAACCTCTTGCAGAATGTGCAATGCATGTTAAGAGCATGTGTATCTCTTAATATAGTGCCTATCTACTTCATTTAAACTGCAGCATTATGTGCCTGTTTTATTAAAATGATGGCAGTGTGGTAGCTGTAATCAAAAGGAGCAAGAAGACATTGTGGGCGCTGTTTGCAATCTATAGATTTTTTTCAAGGTGTGGAATTTTTAACGGTCAAACCAGCAACCCCCCCACCCCAGCACTCGCATACCAACATAACCACATATACGCCCTTTTCCATTTCCCCTCTCTCTTTCTCTCTCTCTCTATCTCATGTAGACACAAATTCAAATACATACACTGCTTCACAGTCTCACGTCTCCCCCTCCAGGGCACAGTACAAACAAGTTACACATGTATGGCAAGCTGATGGGCGAGCAGTAGCCTAACAGTTAACTGAGGAACCTGTGCAGTGTGGAGGTCCACACAGCTCTGTGCTAGTTTATTCCGGTCTCTTCTTTCTCTTTTCCTACTCCTTTTTCTCTCTATCACTCTTTACTAATCCTCTCTCTCTCTTGACTTTCTATGTCTGTACATCTTTGCTGTTTCTGTAGAAACCCTGCTACAGTAATCCTCTCACCTTGTGATCCAATTCTTACTGTCGGTTCCTCTCTCAAAGTTTTGCATCTGTTATTTCTTCCTGTCTTACTCATGTTTATTGGCATCATCCGCTAACCAACTGGCTACGTCCTGCTCATCAGTGAACCACCATGACACTGGATACTACAAGTGAGCTGATGTAATTTGGAAGCACATGACATGGCCTTGAAATCTTATGCACTATTCATACTGACGAAGACTATGACTGGATATTGTTTGAATCTTCAGCCATGCTAGCAGAGTTGGCAGTGATGCTTTGGCCAAGGCTGTAATATTTCTACAGCCCTTTTATTTTGTGCAGACATTCGTGGTCCCCAGAGGATGTATCCTAATGACTTTGTTGATCCTCCAGCTTTTCTTCTAATGCTACCATAAGTTCACACTTGTGGTTTTGAGTGAAATGCCCCAAAAACTATTAGTTGGATTCCCATTACATTGTGTACACACACTCATGCCTCCCTCAGGATGAATTGTAACAGCTTTGGGGATTTCCTGAGTTTTTATCTAGCACCATCATCAGATCATGTTAAGGATTCAGATAAACAGACTAAAGTAACTTCTTCATCATTTTATGCATTTGTAACAGTTCATTACCAAGTGAAACATATACAAACAGTGTGGTTAAAAGTAATAGTAAATAAAAGTAGTTACATTTAATTGTATTAATGTTCTTATTCAATTTTATTTTGTGTAACTGCCAGCTATAAGCCCTGCAGTTCTTTTCACCAAATGGGAGATTCCCAGCTTGAAAGCTGATCTGAACAGTTTTTCTCACATGGCTGCTTAGTTTAAATGATATGATGTGATCATGTGAACATAATACCCGAGTTTTGGTAGTGATACCTAAATTGTGCCTTACTTCAAGCAATATGAACATTTTCCTACAAAATATTTTATTATGTTTGACAAAAGACGTTTTCCCAAGATATACATAAACTATAGAGGAAGATTAACAAGTAAATAAGATTGCAAATCTGACTGGCTATTCAGTCCCATCTTTTAGTACTTGACAGTTTTCAAAGTATTTTTTCAGGTACTGAGGCTGTTTATACCCAGCTGTAATGGAACAAGTGTACTTTTAACTAGCATTTGTTGAAAAGACACAGATCCTTCTGTCCACAGACTTACTATGTCTGGAAAGGTTCACTGAAATTAATGGAACTTCTGCACTGCCAGACAGAAATCTGAGAGAGAGAGAGAGAGAGAGAGAGAGAGAGCACATTTGAAAGAGAGACAGAGATTCACTAAAAACTGGACCACTCAGCCAACCCCACCTGCCTGGCTCCTTATATAAGTTATATTAAGTTACAGTTATATTAATACATTAGTGTAGACATGACTTCACTACTGAAATGATTAACTAATTTGTAACAGCTGTTATTGTACTGAGTCATGTAGTTGTGCAATCTGGTCCATGCTGTGTGCAAGAGTTTAATCTTCAGATCGTTGCTTGCTTCTGTACTATTGGTTATTATCCATGAGCATTTCCCGCTCATTGTGCCAGTGAGAGTGATGACATCTGCACAGCATGCACTCTCTATGGCAAATCAAATACAGAGTGATGTGTCCCTCAGCCCCAAGGGGCTGGATGTGATAAAAATGCTCTGTGCACCCACCTGCTTTCTCCCCCTGCACAGAGGGATGTGCTGTCTTATTTGTGTGTGTGTGTGTGCCTGTATTATACATACTGTTGAAGGAATATGGGATGCACTGTGCAGGGATCGAGGGCTGAGAGGATCCAGCTTTTCATTCACGCCAAACACCAATCCAGCTGATTACACCGATTTGATCAGTGTTTAGCTAGAAATGAAATCCAACGGGCCTGTTCTAAGCCTGAAATTCATGCTGTTTAAAGAGCTGCCAGTCTGCCTCAGTTTACTCCATTTGAATTAGTTCACTCATGGAAACTTGTAGTCAAAATCCAGTCAAGAAAAATATTTTGTGGAACCATTACTGTGTGTTTGTGCTTATAGGCTATGTGTGGAAATGGGATTAATGCTGACAGCATTTCAAACACAGCAGCAGAGTGTTTCCCTCCTTTCACAAAAGCATATTTAGCTAAATTCCTTGTGAGACTCATTAGTCTCTACTAGCTAAGTTCATATATACACATCAACTGACTGACACTGGATTGATTACTTTGGATCTAGGTAGTGGTATGTTTACTGAAAACCATTTCTCAGTAGTCAAGTTGTTTATCTGCAGCTGCCAGACTGCACACCTGCCAGTAAACTTCTGAGGAAAAGCGAAGTTCTCTCAGTTTCTCTACACGCCTTCCTTGACACACTGCCATATTGCAGCTTGACCCATAACAAGCCCATTAACCCTAAAACACTGTTTCCTTGTGACTCTTCCTATTTTGCTCATATGTTCTTCTCCACCACTTCCTCTAAAGTTCCAGCCTTCAACACTTCTCTTTGTCTTAATTTTATCACATATTCCCTTCAAATTCTTGTCCCCTCCCTTTGTCACTGTCAGCATTATTACCATCACTGCGTCTCCTCCATCTTCTCCGCTCATCCATCACTGCTCATCTCCACATTTTTGCATCCACCTCCTGAGTTTCCACTTATCTCTCTATCCTCAGGGCTCTGTTTCAACCCTCCCCTAGGAACATGCTGTAGGACTATCTTGAGATAATTCTAGTGAAATGGGGGCAGGAGGAAAAGAAAGAAAAGCAGACAGCAGGGATTAATCAGAGAATGGATTGGCCAACAGAGCAGATTGAGAGCAGAAGAGGTGGCTAAGAGAGGAAAGAAAATAAACACTGAGGCTAATATGAGTGGGTGGTGACTGAGATATAGTTCACTTACATTACTGCACTCCTGAGCTTTTCTCTACAACTGGTCTTGCTTAACACAACTAACATCTGGTAAACAGGGAAACAAAACAGCATGTTCTCAGCACTTATCTACATTTTTTCACATACCTACTGTACGTATGCTCTGTAACTTCCCGCTAGGTGACGGACCCCTTGTGCCCACACACATACTTAAACACATGTTTTCCTTGTACTCACACAGATTACTCCTGTTTTTACATGTGCTCATGGACACAGAATGCCAACTGTGCTGTGCAGCTGCAGTCATTTCTAGAGAACTAGACATTGCGGCTGTGGATGGGCTTTAGGTGAGTCATAAGCAGCAGAATGAACTCCCCCATAGGCATTTCTTTCTGTTTTCTGTATTTTTCCTCCTAATGCTGGAGCTTCAGTGTCAATATAATCCTGACTCTGCTCCCAGAGGCCATCTCCCACTGTGAGTCATAGGTAGACACTGATGTGAACAAAGGAGGTTTACGCAAGGCAGAGGCGGAAGTAGTGAAAGAAAGTGGGTGTTTTTTGGTAAAAAGTGCATGGTGAGGGGATGCGACTGGCAGCTAACTTCACCAGATGATTCGTAGGTTGTGTAATCCTCAGGGGTCTTCGGGCTTCTACGTGTCACTGGGCTTTCTGAGCTTCACTGCACTCTGCGTTACAGCTGCCTGCTCCTGGCATCCATGACTCAAACAGAACTAGCAGAAAAGGAAGGAGACTCCTGCTGCTCTTAACAAAAACTAAGGGCTTTGGAAGAGAAAGAAAGTCATATTCATCCAGAGAATTTATGGCAGAGATAGTGTGGAAGAGCATTAATGTGTCCATCTGCCAGTGAATGAAACCATCTGTGACTCCTTTGGAGCTTTTCCTTGGCCATTTTGATTGCGCAACTGGTTGTATAACTTACATGCTGAACTCTTGTCTTTAGTGTTTATCTGTGTGTGTCAGCATATGTGCCATGTATTCTGAAAGCATACACCTAACCACACCCTGTGTGTCTGTTGGTGTCATGTTGCTGAAACCTTGTGGGAGTTTTGATAACCTGCTCAGTGAATCAGAAAGCTGCAGCATGCACTCCTTACATTACACATGATCACAAGTTCTTAGAGATTTACACAAGTTTATGGCTTACATTTATGCTATTGTGCAAGCTATGAACCATTACTAAATAAACAGACATTTTGACCAGAATTCATGAATTGAGCTGAACCTAAATAGGTTTTAAACTGATTTCTGCCTCCTTTTGATATCATAATCAGAATCAGCTTTATTGGCCAGGTGGGTTGGCTCTGACTGGCTTTGACTCTGGTAATGTTTACTTATCCACAATGCTTTATACATTCATGCTTCTTTTATTGCATAGTGTTTACACAAAGCTTGTTTGTTTCTACAGAAGCACAGAAGGATGGTGTGACAGACACAGAGACGGGCATAGGGACCAGTCCCTCACTGACAGATGCAGATTATGGCTGGGGGGCTGCCAAGCCCCTCTTCTTCCTGGGCTTCCTCCTCTTCGTCTTCCATTCTTCAGATGCCCAGACCATCATCGACTCCTCCTTCTCTATTAATTCTTCACCCCCCACAACCAAGCAGACAGCTCAATTCTCGCCCTCTTTGCCTCCTAGAGGGCGTAGTGATGTGCCCATCAGACCTACAATTCGTGACAGACTGACAAATACAGTGCAACAAGGGAAAAGAAAAACCCGTCCTACTCCACAGGCTGCTCCTTCTTTTATATCTGCTCTTCCTACACAGAATCTCAGCAGTGGGCCAATTTTAACTCAACCGACTGCCTCCAGGCCAAGGACCGACACGGCTAGTTTAGCATTCAGCAGGGCCTTTGCAAAGGGAGACACTACTACAAAAGGCTCAACTCCACCTCAGCCAACGTTGCCCTCTTCTGTTGTTGCAGAACCTGCTAGCAGTAAGCCAGTTACAGCAAAAAACACAGTGGTGGGCTCAGTTAAAACGACAGAGGATGCTGATTCACAGGGGTTAGGATCAGGTAGTGTGCCAGTAGTGATGCTTGTGAATGGGGATTCACCTGTTCCTCTTCCAACGGTTGGTGATGAAATGGCACAGTATCGGCCTCAGGCACAGACTAGCATTTTGGATGTAAAGACGCCACCACAGGGCAGTCACGTGGAGAAGCCCCACCATTCTGTGCTGCCAGTAGCTAATAACATCTCTATGACGCCACAAACGCAGACCAGAGCAACTGTGTCCCATGTGGTCACACAGGCAACGCCTCGGATTGTATTAACAGGTGAGAAATCAAATATATATTTGTGACAGTAATGTGTTGTTTAGGTCAAAATCTTTACACCGTGTCACAAATGTGTCTTTTCCACCATTTTAGGTGAACTGAATGCAAACACTTCTTCCACCGACAGAGTTACTCCAAAGCAGGGCTCCACTGCCGTGACAATACCCCAAACCATAACTGCCACCATTGGGCCTACTCATAAACAACCACAGGCAGCTGGTCGAAGCCAGAACACTTCACTTTCAAAAACCATTATGGAGCAAGTGGCCACGTCTGTTTATAGTCTGCTTACTACTACACAGGAGGTTGTGAGAATCTCCTCTACAACTACACATAAACCCAACAAAACGGCACAACTAGGAAGGAATACAGCCAGCACAACTACATCAAGAACAGGTAAGAGATGAGGATCTTGCATTCAGTTTTAAAGTTGTAGTTTTTTAATCATTTAAAATGGAGTTATTTGTGCAGCTGGGACTTTTTACTGGAACAATCTGGAAAACTCTTCTCAGGAGGGAAAAAGCAAAGACACTTTTCCATGGAAAGTGAGGTGGTAGCTGTGTGGGGTAGACACGAGAGGGAAGAAAGTATGAGGTAAGAGGGAGGGTTGAAGAGGGGGCGGCTGGAATTGCAAGTGGGCAGAGGGAGCAACAAGGGGAAGAGTTAGGTTCTGAAAAGAGACTGCTGGGAACAGAGATGAGAGAGTAGTGGGTGAAAATGTGATAGAAGAACGGTACAGGCATAGTAATGCAGGGAGCTGGGGAGGTAATCAAAACCAGATGCACAGAGAAGGGGGTGAAGGGAGGGCAGATGAGGAAAATAGAAAACTGACACATGGGGCACATGAACAACATCTTAATGACTTTTAAACATTGAAGCTTTCCTATCCCTTGACCACATTTATATATTTCAAGTAGGCTCCTTGGCAGGTCACTGAAAGTATGAACAGTCTGCATAAAGTGTAGTATTTGTCCACATTTGTATCTGGGCCATAAACATGATTGTGTTTTCAATGAAGTGGGATACGATATTTATTTTTCAGTTGACTGCAGCATGTGGATATGTAAGCAGTGTGTTACTGTGCTATAGAGAAACCTCAAGGATAGGGGTATGTTTAAATGTCTCCAGCTGTGAAATGTGATCAGCACATCTGGAATCTTGGATCTGTATGGAAAATAACATTGAGGGAAGAAAGTAAAACATACCTTTATATAAATAAGAAAGTGTGTGATGTCGTGCTTGCCTATGTGAGTATGAAACTGAAATGTGCATGTGTGTGTGAGGGAGAGAGACAAAGTGAAACACATGCTGGAGTCAGTCATTAGTCAGTGTGTGTCAGCTTTATGGGTGTCTCCTACAGGGTGAGGACAGACCTAATGTCCTCCAATGTGCCATGGATTGAGTGTTTTACCACTGATCATGTTGTTCCACCATCCATCAAGTTCAGTGTGTGTCAAACAATTCTTTATAAGTAATTCTAGATGTCCCTGGGCTGCAACTGTTTCTTAGTTCCTCATCTGTGACCGAGTCATTATGGTCTACATCTTTATTGTCTTCCTATAAAATGCTTTCAGTTTTAATAATACATATAATAAATATTTTCTTTATTAGTATTATTGTTCAATTATGGTGAAATCTTTGCAGCTGAGTAGCTCGCAAAGCTCTCAGTGATTATATTGGGTGGTTTCAGGCTTGTGTAGACCAATAAGGCGGAGTGCCTTGAACAAACAGAAGTATGTGTAGGCATGAGAAAGAATGAGATTCATTGTTGTGGTCTTGTCTTGTCCCATGAAGTTATGTATTGTATAATACTGACAATTTGAACAGAGAGATTTCCATCTTTGTAGAATTGTGAGGCTGTGCCATGTTATGTAACATAAATGCTCTTGTTAATTACATAATCTAATCCAATTAAGACACAGTTTTACTCGGCATAATGTCTGATTTGTTTATAAATATAATGTGGATGATCAGGTGGCATGGTATTCAAGTCATATTATGATTGCTATTATCTAGCTGTAACACAAATGCATAGCTTTTCAGAATTATTATCTAAACCTAAGCAGACTTTTGCTTGAATGTATAAACATTTTCTCCACCCTGTATAATGGTATTAGCTGAGTTTTGTGCCTTGCATTGTGCAGTCGGGAGTGTCTTTTTGAATATGGGATGTGTCATTTGTACACTTCTACCTGTACAAAGCAACACCATCTTTGGTTTAGGTTTGTTATTCATACTAGGCCATATTTTGGGATAAACTGTTCTACCTGACACTCACAGAGAGAGAGCAGAGAAGAAACTGATGCAGACCAAATCAGATTTTTAAAGTATAGTACAAGTTATTGGCATAGTAGAAGTTCACTAATTTGATTAGACCTTGTCATCACATTTATGTTATATATAGACCAGGGACAATGTGACTGTGGAGAACTGATCAAGTTACTAGATCTGAGAGGGTCCAGTAATTCAGGTTTATGACTTTGATGGTAAACTACACCCCTCTAGTGGCTGTGAATAGTATTTTATGTGCAGTACTTTTGTAGTATTCCTCTATATTTCATTTAAATGGTATGAATTGAGGAAGGAATATTCATTTGTAATATTTTACTTATTAAGTACTATTTTGAATTTATATATTTAAAATTTTATTTCTCTTTTTCTAGGGACCTCTTCATTCCTCACCACTGGTGTTGTACCAGCCAACCGAACGAGGTATGGCCCCACGTATCAGACTGGTATTGGTCAGAGAAACCGTTCCATTCTCCTGGGACATCCTCATCAAGCTCCCTACTCCACTTCTAATCCAGCCCCATCTCCCAGCATCAATTCCTCCCCTAATGGCACACTTCTCGACTGGGGTGACCTGAGCCACACATTGGCTTTTGCCTGGGAGCTGCATGTCTATGGCTCAGCAAGTCTCTTCCTCCTACTGTTTGCCGGAGCTGCTCTTGGCCTCACACTGTCTCCCAACACAAACTGTCCTCATCGGGGTGCTCTTACACTCGCCAATGGTCTGCTGTTACTGTCCGGAGGCCTTAGGGCAGCTTTCTTTCTAATCGACCCCTATGGCACACGGAAATTCCTCCCTCGTCCGGCAGTTACAGCCCTCTACAACTTGCCTCTACACCTGCTGGTGTGGACACAGGCAGCCCTTGCACTGCTGGCCTTAAGGGTGGCAGAAGTATGTGTGCTGCCTCCGACCATGGAGCGTCCCCCTTTGGTGGCTGTGCTGGCTGTGTTGCAGTGCACTCTGCTGCTGGCAGCGGATCTGCTTTCCCCAGCCCTGTCCGCTGTGGTACCCGTCACCCTGCAGGTTCTGTCCCTGTGCTGGGGCCTGGCTCTCTGTCTGGGCTTCCTTTGCCATGTCTTTCCACGTATACGCTACCCGCCCATCCCCAACCCCGATGCTCCTGAAGAGGCCAGGAGAAAGGCTTGGACTGGGAGCAGGAGGACAGGTGTGATTCTGGGGAGAGTACTGGCAGTGTGTGCAGTTCTGGGAGCACTGTGCTGTGGACTGCATATTCATGCTACTTTATGGCTTTATGGACTGCTAGGGGACTGGACGCACTTCAACTGGGGATGGTGGCTGGTTCACTTCTGGGCCAGACTCCTGGAGCTGGCCTGGGGGTTTTTCCTCCTACTCCTGGGTTCATGGGTGTTCTGGAGGCCTCAAGGTTGCCAGGGAAGGGAAGAGGGTGGACCAGATGGCAGAGCAATGGGAGCCCTGCCATCCCCTGGTCAATCTGTAGGTTCCACTCAAAGACATACCTGCTGGTCCAAGATAGTGCAGAGCCTGAGGGGGAAGCCCTGTAAAAAGTCTGACAGCAATGGGGTGGGAGGAGGAGGAGGACCAGGAGAGGTTCCCAACAACTGGGCTGGCCAGGACCGTCCTGGAGCTGACATCAGTAAAAGTCTGATCAGGAACCAGAACCATGAGCAGGGCACTGTCCAGTCACGCTGCATCAAGGAGAACAACACGGGACGCAACCATAGGGCTCACCCTGCAGAACAGGGTGTATCTGATGGCTCCACAAGCTCCCTGCTGAGACTGCAGACACTGGGCCGGCCTCTGCGGCACTCAGTCAGTGGCAGTCTAGATCACGATAAGGACACTTCCCTGTCTTTTTATGAGTTTGATCTGCGGCCTCCCTCTCCAATTGACCTGACCCGCAGCATTGATGAGGCTCTGCACAGGGAACACCTGCTCGGAGGAGGCAGCCTGTTTCATCCTTTAAACCAAACATTACTATCCCCATCCCCCAGCTGTGGGGTCAACCAGGGGCCCTGGCTCCGCAGGAACAGTGATCCTCAGCTGCTGTCTGAGAGTAGCGAGGCCCTGACAGAGTCTTCCATGCCACTGGGGGGAAGCATACTCAGCAGTGTACCAAGCAGGCAGGTGACTGCTCCCCCTACACCTTCCCATCAGGGACACAGGTTTGCTGGGGACGGGCTGGGAAATGTCCCTTCATCAGTGTCCTGCCCTGTATCACTTCATCCCTCGAGAACATCAACAGAACATCTCGGGGAGGATGGAGTGGATGACACACGGCCATTCATCACTCCGGACTCAGAGAGAGTGAGGGGGAGGGCTGGGAGGCCAGTGGGGTCACGGAGTTACCTAGAGGTCAGCCGACATGATGACTCTGCCAGTGTCAGCAGTGAAATTATTGATTTATGAACATGGACATGAGGCCCAGTAACCACACACCAGACACACCCATTTAACAAATGCTGTTCCAAACCAAGACTTCAACAAAAATGATTATTGAAATAAAAGTAAATTATTTTTAGAAAAAGGAAAATATAAATAAGAGGATCTGGGTGATTAACTTAAAGGATGTCACCTAGTTGCCTTAATGGTTTAGCAACAGCACAGATAAACAACACAGAACACTTACAACCATCTCCATCCTGTTCTCACATGTACAGTAGCACCATGTCTTCCTTGTCATGTTTTTCTCTCAAACACACTCACCTGCATAACTCTGCTGTAACTGTGATCATGCACGCAATCCAGCAGGTTTGTGATCGGTGTGAAATTTGGGACGGTGATGAATTTCATCTTCACATAATGTAAAAAATGATCAAAATAGGTTTAGATCATGAATTCTGTCTGAAAAAGGTATTTCACACCCCTGAGCGCGTCAAACTGAAAGTGTGAGGTGTGAAACTAACATGGCTATACGCCTGTAGGTCCCATTTCTTCTGTTTCTGTGATAAAATGTCTGCATATCAACAGCTGTGAATTTCATTGCTTTCATAGAGTTTATGTGCTGTCTTCCATATTTTCATTTGCTTTGTGATGTAAAGATGTGCCATACATACAGTAATCTTAGTTGGTTCCATGTTATTTTTAACGGTAAACCCATTATAGCATTTTACCAGTATCATGGTGACTCAGCTCTGGATTACTACTTCTAAGCTCTTAACATGCTGCTGCTGTTATTGTACAGTCTGGCTGCCCTATGTTAATGTGAAGCTGGTTGCATAAAGAGGCAGGCAGTAAACAACAGCCAGTAATACACAGAGTCTTGCTTACAAGTGAAACCTTAGCTAACACCTTTAGCTGTTGCTGAAATTGTCCATTTCATCTTGTCCTTTTGCTGTAGAACAAAGCTTTTGCAGTTAATAATTATGTACAATTGAAGCCTCTGACTGCATTTTTACATAATCTGACTATGGATATTCAATATAATCATGATCCTATCAGTTGCAATTAATCAATTCATACAGTTTGATCTCATATCTAATGAAATGCTACTTAGCTTTATTGGGCTGCAACACACAAGACTGGCTTGGCATGACCCTCAGAACTCTTATACTAGACCTAGGTCAATAACAGAGCATTTAACTGTAAGCCTGAACACAAGACTGAAGTATTTTACTATTCAAGAGAAAAATATCTTTCGAATATGAAATGTATAAGCAACAATGTAAATAGTTATTTTTGATGTTAATGAATAAAGGTGTATTTGAAGCATTGTTGTAGTGGTTACTGTGAAAGACAATCTGAAGTGGTATTACTTATGTGTCTGAGCTGTATACACTGTTTTGATATGCTGACATCAGATTTTCACCTGTTCAGGACACACAGAGCTGTGACAGTTGTTACTTGGCTGATAAGTTTATGTCAAGGGTTTTCTGGGCTGTGCTCAGGAATGTCATAATGGTGATGGTTGTATAAGTAATGGCCAGGGTCTGCAGGATTTTTAGTTCAACTTTGTCATAAAATCACAAATGTATTGACAGAGCTGTATCGTCACATTTAGTGTACAAATTCAAATGAAACAGTTTGGTAATCTTGAATATAGCCCAGTGGTTCCATTCCATCTTACATTTGAAATGACATACTATAAAAAAAAAAGAGTTACTCTGACTGATTGACTTCCTTATCTTGGGATGCCGCTTTAATGAATAAAACCTAATTTATTCCCCTGTTCCTGTTGAGAGCCAGCTCTGACTTGTTTTCCACTACTTAAGGGTGATGTTCAGTAGCTCCCAGTGCAATAAGATGCTCGACTTGTTTCGTATTTACAGTACAATGGCCATGTGTTGTCTACATTCCAACCAACCTGTAAGATCTCGCTGTTACATCTTTGACTTAATGACCAGGGTGGAACCTCCAACACCCTTAGTGTTGCCCCCTCCACAAATCGGTATGTGCCATAGAAAGTACAGTCAGTGTGCTCCCTCTAGTCTGTTGTCTCAGTGCATAAATAGATTGATAGTTTATTTTATTCATTGAAATTGTTCTTGTATTTCTTGCTGCATTTTGTGTCTGGATTCAAATAAAAATGAAAAATCAAAATATTTTACTGTCAGATGATGATTGATTTGATTGAATTGATTACAGAACTGTATGAAACTGAAAATCAGCTTTTTCACCTTCTTCTCATAGTCCTCAGCCAACTGTTCATTCTGTTAAGTGAAATGTTTTACAGCCACATACTTTTCCTGTAAAAACAGAACCAGCAGTCAATGTAATGCTTTAGGTGAACATAGATGTATGTAGATGTACCTAATTTTAAAAATGTTTATTGCAGTAAATCCAACTTTATGTATTCCTGCTACAACTTTACCAGAAGACGTTGCATTTAAGTTAGCGCAGCTTAGTTATACAGTATATTGAATGTTATGTTTGTTCTTTTAAAAGCAAAATTTACCTGCTGGATTTCTGAAGGAAGTTTGGTCACCTTCTCTCAGCAAAAGAAACAAGCTTATAAAGTGAGAACGTGCGCTGTCCTTGGTGCTGGAGAGAGAAAACCTGAACCTTTGACTCAGGAATCTGAATAGCACAAAATCACAACAAAGGTCATCTCAGGACAATTTACAAAGTAAGTTCTCAACCTTAGTATCATCATCATCATCATCATCATCATCATCATCATTAAGAAGACCCCAACAAAGCCCCCTTGAGCAAGCACTTGGTGACAGTGGGGAGGAAAAACTCCCTTTAAAGGAAGAAACTTCCAACAGACCCCGACTCCCAGTGGGCAGCCATACTGCCTTGATCGGTTGGGGTGAGCGATAGTTTCCATAGTCATCACCTCATGAAAAACAAGGCAAATACACCCAAAAGTGAGCGGCTCAGAGCTTATTTAGAGTCTGAGCCGTCTGTCTCTGCCAGGCTTCCTCCCTCCCATGAACCTAAAACATACTCCTGGTTGGTATCGCAGCTACTGCACAATAGAGCTCTGACAACAATCCCATCTGCCCACGAAACTGCTAAACGTGTCCCCACAGCAGCGATAATACATTGAGGGACGGGATAAATTCCCCTGCTGGGAGGCCTCCCATATTATGAAAATCTAATAAGCACACAAAACGCAAAGCTTTCCCTCCTCAGGCCTACTTGAAGCACGAGTCTCCCCCTTGAAACTTGGCAGAGCAAGACAACTTAGAAATGTAACCCTAAAGTAAGAAAGTTATTAAAATCTGGGCGGTGATGATTTTGAAAACAGCTCAACTACACTTATCAAGACAGGTTTAGAACATAAAGCACAACTTCATGCGTATGGAGAATCAGTCATTGATCCAAACACTAAGCCTGTCCAACTACTTCCACCATTTAACTGATGTAAAAATGAGCCAGCCTTGTGCAGCTCTGTGATACAGGGAGCCAGTGGAGAGAAGCTAATATGGGAGAGATATGATCTCTCTTGCTAGTTCCTGTCAGTACTCTGGCTGCAGCATTTTGGATTAACTGGAGGCTTTTTAGGGAATTACTTTTGGGGAATGCTTTTGACACCATTGATCACAGCATCTTACTGCAGAGACTTGGACATGTTATTGGGATTAAAGGAACTGCGCTAAGTTGGTTCAAATCTTATTTATCAGAAAGATTTCAATTTGTTCATGTTAATGATGAATGTTCCACACAAACTGAAGTTAGTCACGGCGTTCCACAGGGCTCTGTGTTAGGTCCAATTCTTTTCACTTTATACATGCTCCCTTTAGGCAATATTATCAGGAAGCACAACATAAATTTCCATTGCTATGTAGATGATACTCAGTTATATTTATCTATGAAGCCAAATGAATCAGGTCAGTTGGTCAAACTTCAAGCATGTCTTAAAGACATAAAGGCCTGGATGACCTGCACCTTCTTACTTCTAAACTCTGACAAAACTGAAGTTATTGTGCTTGGGCCTGAAAACCTTAGAAATCTGCTGTCTAATCATATAGTTACTTTAGATGACATAGCTCTTGCCTCCAGTACTACTGTGAGGAACCTTGGAGTCATCTTTGATCAGAATATGTCCTTTAAATCACACATAAACCAAGTCTCTAGATCTGCCTTCTTTCACCTGCGCAATATTGCAAAAATCAGGAGCATCCTGTCTTAAAGTGATGCTGAAAAACTTGTCCATGCATTTGTTACTTCCAGGCTGGACTACTGGACTAACTACTCGACTAACTCTTTACTATCAGGATGTCCATGTGGTGACTTCAATATAGATTTGTTAAATCCTAACAAGCACACAGGAACTGAGGAGTTTATTAACACA